TGCGATAAGTCAAGATTATTTTTCGTGTAGTCTTCTGCCCCCTGTTATCAGGTGTATCTGATTCTGTACAATAAGATTTTGAGAAAAGCTTTTACCATTTAATTATGCAAAAGGTGTCAGATGCAAAATATTTCAGAAACCGTATCAAAATGATACATTTGGCATTACAGGGTTAAATCAAATTCCATTCAAAAGGCCAGATTTTCTCCTAATTTTTGACAAATCTCACTTATCGTGAACGCTTGAATCGTCTTTTGGTATTTTTTAAAGAACCCCTGAGGGAAGAGCAGCGACAGAGTGGAGCTAACTGGGTTTTTTGGTGGCTGTGGGGAGGATGGAGCAGAGCAGGAAGACCGGACAAACTGTCAAAGTTGGCATTAAAGTAAATGCAGCTGTGCTCTAAACCCCTGGTGGCTCTCCGCTTTCATGCCACCGGATGTTTCCAGAGGGCGGAGGAGGACCGGTTTGGCCCACATAGCTCCTCTATCAGCAGAGAGCAGCTGAAAGTTTACAACTTTTCTTTGAGGCTACAAGCTTCCTGCAGCCTGCAAAGGAAGTCTGGATTTTCCTTTAGCATCAATAAACATCGATGGACTCCGTAAAGATTAAGGATGGTCCCCATCCAGCTTTTTTTCCTTCCGATCCAATACCGATCCCGGCCGATCAGAGCATGTATTAAAGTTATTTAGCCTACTTGATTAGTTGTCAGACTCATGTTGAACAGGGATTTACTCTAATAACAACTGAATCCTATAATGCTAAATGTATCATATTTGATAAATACAGTTTCTGAAGTCTTTTGGATCTGAGACTTTTTGCATCATTCAGTGGTAAAAGCTTTGCTCAAACCCCTGTTGTACACATTAAAATAAACCTGATAACAGCCAGTAGAAGACTACACCTAAATATATTTTTGACTTATTGCACGCTAATTTGATCAAAATAATATCTGTTTTTTTTCTTCATATGTTGTTGAGGGGCCAAAGAAAGACTTCAGACTAAAAAAATCCAATAATCTTCCTGTTTTTCTTGGATCAGGCTTTAAAGGGTTAAAGGTTAGGACACAGACCTGTGGGTTAGCAGATGCTAATGCTAATGCTAATGTAGGATTGGCCTTAAAAATAAACTGGATCTGGAGTCTGGATCTGCATTTTCTGATGCCAGCTGATAAACATTTTTTTTTCAAATATAGGCGAATATAGGCGATCTAGATATCAAATCGGTCTTTTTCTTTTTGGTTAGATCATCCTAATCTTTTCTGATTTCCAGTCGAGTGGAATTAATAACATGAATATACATCTGCTCAGATTGCCGGTGGGTCATGCTCGGGCTCCTGTGGGCTCCATCTGTTTGGCCCGGTGTCTGTGAGGAGCAGGTGAGGCTGCGGGGGGGCGGGCCGAGGCTCAGTCTGCCTCAGTGCCTCTGAGCACCGACATGCAGCCCCACGCTCCAGACCAGTATGGACCAGAGTACCACAGAAACCCGAAAACCAGGAGATAAGGAGAAACAGACGAGCTGGAAAAGCCTTTAAAGTGCTGTCATGAGATGCTGGTTCTGGGAGGTTTTAGCTACTGGTTCTTGGAGGTTTTGGCTGCTGGTTCTGGCAGGTTCTGGGAGGTTTGGGTTTCTGGTTCTGGCAGGTTCTGGCTGCTGGTTCTGGCAGGTTCTGGGCAGCTGGTTCTGGGAGGTTCTGGCTGCTGGTTCTGCTGGTTCTTGGAAGTTCTGGTTGCTGGTTCTGGGAGACTTGGGTTGCTGGTTCTACTGGTTCTGGGAGGTTTTGGTTGCTGGTTCTGGGAGGTTTGGGTTTCTGGTTCTGGGAGGTTTGGGTTTCTGGTTCTGGGTGGTTTGGGCTGCTGGTTCTACTGGTTCTGGGAAGTTCTGGTTGCTGGTTCTGGGTGGTTTGGGCTGCTGGTTCTGCTGGTTCTTGGAAGTTCTGGTTGCTGGTTCTGGGAGGTTTGGGTTTCTGGTTCTGGGAGGTTTGGGTT